CACAAATTCCAGAGGAGCAGGCAGCCAGTTGAGTTCCCCACCTTCCCAGGGACAGTGAGGCTCGTGCTTCAGCCCTAGGGTGGCAGGCTCCGGTTGTGGGGCTTCGGGCTCCGACCCTGAATCCCATCTGTGGGTGCCAAGACCCCCCCACACACACACACACATCACCCCTGGCCCCAGCTGCCCCCGCTGTCTCCCTATCCACCTCCCCATCCAGGGCTTAATTTGTCCCCTGACTTGTCTGAGTAAGTCTGCGGTGAAAATTGATATTTGTATGTTTGTTAGTATCACTTTTCATTGCCTCCCAGCTAGCTAGTAAGTCTGTTGTGAAAAGTGATATTAACAAATATACAAATATTACTTTTTGCAGCAGTAGACTTACTAGCTAGCAAGTCTTTTTAAAAAAGCCAACCAAAAAGCAAAAGAAACAACAACAACAAAAAGACAAGAATGTGCAAAGCACCTTATTTGTGTTTCTATTCTGTTTAGGTCCAGTAGAGAATAGAGACAACTGTACATTATTTTGAATTATTGCATCTGCTCAATAAGAAGTTATGGGTATGATGCAGAAACCACTTGGTGAAATTCTATAGCCTTTGTTATGCAGGAGGTCAGACTAGATCACTGTACTGGTCCTATTCTGGCCTTAATACCTGTAAAACTGTTATGTGCCAACACAGAATATTGCTTCCCTGGACTCTCAGAGTTTGTTGCAACAGATACAAAACATCTAGTTTTTAATTCATGCAAACAGCGGATAATTTTTGCAGATTCCACTTACTGAAAACAAAAGAGGGTTTTTCCAAGTATAGGAAGGTGTTGGAGAGGTCAATTTTACTGTGGAAAAATGTACTTTCGCCATTTCAATTTTTCTATTTATTTTTTCGTTTTCATTGTTTATGCTTTGTGAACTGTACCCAGGAAAGTTTATTATGGTGGCTTACAGAACGTGCCATGCTTTCTGTCACCCTAGCTCATAGCCCTGTTCTCCTGACATTAAAGTCAACGAGAGTTTTGCCACTGATTTCAATAAAGGTAGGGTCCTTCAACAAGAAAAATGGCAAAATATTTAAACTACATACGATGAAAGGCACGTTTATTGTGAATACAAGTTGTATTATCAGTGAGAGACTCATTAGAGTCACTTGCCTTTATTCACTGCTGAAGTTTCCAAACTGATGTTATTTATTATAACCCATTGAAGAAAATGTAGCATAATGCTCCACAAACAGTATTATCAACTGGATAAAAACTTAAGATTGTCTAACACATTATAAAGACATCTTATTACAGTAACATTTCATCACCACACATTCAGTCTCCGTTACTGATGTCTAACAAGCCATGTGATTCCATTATCCCTTTTAATGACATAATTAATGGTATTTGTGGGCAAAAGTAATTAATTGGGAAGAGCCTTTGTGTTGCACCATCAGAAGTGGATAGCCTGGTGGAATACTGCTATTGATTTTTATCCAATATTTATTAGCAAACTTTGTTGGTTCTGATTAAGGAAATTGAAAATGTGACCCAGTGCAACAGCAAACTGCTTATGTGATGTGCCAGCCGCTCCCTCATCCTTCTTCAGAAGCAAGTGGATGTAGAGTCCTGGTGTTTGTCCAGCAACCTGTTCCCCAATAAATTAAAACCTCTGCCAAAAGTCTCTTTGGCGGATTGTCAAACATTCGAATAGCTGCCATCCAGTCTAAGCTGCATGTGGGATCATTCACAGATCCAATTCTCCCTTTTGGAATTCAGACATCAGATTCAAATCAGGTCATATCTACACTACGAACTTTTGCTGACACACATTACATCATCATAAAGCTGCCACAGTTAGCATATCGCTTGTGCATTTGCATGCTTGGCTTCTTGCATCGGCACTGCATGTACTCACCAGGAATGCTTAGGTAGATGCACAGTGTGGCGCACCATGCCAGATGGTGGTGTGTTGCACATGTATCTTAGTGTGCAACACACCACCATCTGGCACATTGTCTTTTGGGAAGTTTGGCAATGTATGGTGGGGGCAGAAACAAGTCATGCAGGGGTGATTGGGAGAAAGGGGTCAACTGACCCTGCATGCAAATGTCTCCATCCTACAATGTTCTCTATTTTCCATAATTTTTGCACTGTTTTTAAAAATTGCACGATCCTGCACAGCCCACCTCACTGTCCACCATCTGTGACAGAAGTATGGACCCTGCAGATCTCTGCACTATTGTCATAAGTGTTGCAAGCACAAGATGCATGATCCGCCAGTATTTGCAAAGCTGTAAGAAGAACGAAATCAGTGGGGAACATGACGATTTCTTGGAGGACAGATTGCTGTGGGACATAGGGAGAACCATTTCAAGGTTATTGGCATTCACAGAGCAGCTGCAGACGGTGGGGCGCCGCCTTTGGACTGGAGAAATGAGCACTGACTGGTGCGATCACATCATAATGCAGATTTAGGATGATGATCAGTGGCTGCAGAACTTTTCAATGCCCAAGGCTACATTCCTGGATCTGTATGCTGAGCTCATCCCAGCCCTGTAGCACAGGGCCACCAGAATGAGAGCTCTGCTGATAGTGGAGAAGCAAGTGTTGATTGCACTGTGGTAACTTGCAATGCCAAATTGCTACCGGTCAGTGGGAAACAATTTTGGAGCTGGAAAATCCACTGTGGGAGCTGTTGTCATGAAAGCATGCAAGGCTGTTAATCGTCTGGTGCTACCTAATATTGTCACTGTTGGTAATGTGCAGGGCGTACTGGATTGATTTGCAGCAATGGGGTTCCTGAACTGTGGTGCAGCAAAAGACAACATGCATATCCCTATTTTGGCACCAGGCCACCTTGACACAGAGTACATCAACAGAAAGAGCTATTTTTCTATGGTTATGCAAGCATTGGTGGATCACTGGGGATGCTTCACTGATATCAGTGTTGGCCAGTCAGGGAAGGTGCATAACACTCACATTTTTAAGGACACAGGAATGTTAAGAAAGCTTTAAGCAGGCCCTTTCTTTCCCATTGATGGGATAGAAATCCACCTTGACACCACCAAGGAAAGATTCAAATACCAGCTCAACAGGTGCAGAATGACAGATGAATGTACTTTTGGTAGATTGAAGGGACACTGGCATTGTTTACTCACAAGACTGGATCCCAGTAAATAAAACACGCCAATGGTTACAGCTGCCTGCTGTGTCCTGCCTATCTGTGAAGCAAAGGGGGGAGAAGTTGCTGCCGGGGTAGAGGGTGGAGTTGGAGCAGCTGTGTGCTGAGTTTGAACAGCCGGACACAAAGGCTATTAGAAGAGCTCAATATGGAGCTATTCAGCTCAGGGAGGCTTTGAAAGAGCACTTTAACAGTGAGCCACAGGAATACGTTGTGGTGGACAGTGCTCTATCTGGCCTGCTGTTTGGGGCCCTCTTAAGAACTGTGTGTTGCTTGGTGCACAACTGTGAATGTTACACTGTCAATGCCCCTATTAATTTTGTGCCACTCGCTGAACATTTATGATTATCACACTGTAGTTGTCCCTGATCCTTTGAGTTGTGTGTAAGCCTAACATCAGTACTGGGCAAATTGATTGAAACCATAGAAAAGAACAGAATTATCAGACATATAGATGAACATGATTTGTTGGAGAGGAGTCAACGTAGTTTTTGTAAAGGGAAATCACGTCTCACCAATCTACTAGAATTCTTTGAGGGGGTCAACAAGCATGTGGATAAGGGTGATCCAGTCGATATACTGTACTTAGATTTTCAGAAAGCCTTTGACAAGGCCCCTCATCAAAGGCTCTTAAGCAAAGTAAGCTGTCATGGGAAAAGAGGGAAGGTCCTTTCATGACTCAGTAACTGGTTAAAAGATAGGAAACAAAGGGTAGGAATAAATGGTCACTTTTCAGAATGGAGAGAGGTAAATAGAGGTGTCCCCCTGGGGTCTGTACTGGGATCAGTGCTGTTCAACATATTCATAAATGATCTGGAAAAAGGGTAAACAGTGAGGTGGTAAAATTTGCAGATGATACAAAACTACTCAAGATAGTTAAGTCCAAAGCAGACTGCGAAGAGTTACAAAGGGATCTTACTAAACTGAGTGACTGGGCAACAAAATGGCAGATGAAATTCAATGTTGATAAATGCAAAGTAAGGCACATTGGAATACATAATCCCATATAATGATGGTGGTCTAAATTAGCTGTTACCACTTAAGAAAGAGATCTTGGAGTCATTGTGGACCGTTCTTTGAAAACATCCGCTCCATGTGCAGCAGCAATCAAAAAAGCTAACAGAATGTTGGGAATCATTAGGAAAGGAATAGATCAGACAGAAAATATTATATTGCCTCTATTTAAATCCATGGTATGCCCACATTTTGAATACTGCGTGCAGAAGTGGTCACCCCATCTCAAAAAAGTTATATTGGAACTGGAATTGGAAAAGATACAGAAAAGGGCAACAAAAATGATTAGGGGAATGGAATAGCTTCTATATGAACAGAGATTTAAAAGAGTGGGACTTTTCAGGTTGGAAAAGAGACGACTGTCCTGCCTGCTCTTTCCTTCCCAGGCTGTCTGCAATACTCAGCCTCCAGGCCCTTTGCTCACAGTCTGATGCAGCACTGGCTTGCAGGATCTCACTGAACATGTCATCCTGAGTCATCTTCTTTCTCGTCCTTATCTGGCTCAGGGGTCTGCGGGTGTGGAGGGGAAGACTACCACAAGGCTGCAATGACAGCAGCTGCAGATAAAACACACAGAGGTACCAATGTCAGTATAGTCACAACGGAAACCGAAAGTTAAGATTCAGAACTCCCTTCCCTAAAGTTTTAAACCAGATGCTTATGGAAACTTCTGCTTGGGATTGCTTGTGCATGGTGCCATTCACAGCACCAACCATGGTGAATATGGCTCATCGGGGTGAGGGAAATGAGGGGGGAATTCCTCGATTGCATGAAACTGTGAGTATAGGACAATGACACTGAATACTGGCACCATTTTCCACAGGCAGTAGTGATTTTAACTGATATCTCACTCCGGAGGGTAACAAAGGCAGAGAGAGGACAGCTGCTGGTGTCCCAAAGCTGCTCTCACCCATATGCTTCTCGACTGTGTACTGCCATGGTGCCTGCTGAAGTTATCGCCGACTGGCTGGGGTGGTGTCTTACCACAGAGGAAGAAATAAGGCTGCCATCACTACAAACCTTTGGGAGAGGACTGCAGAATATCTCCATGAAAGTTTCACTGCGATCTCTCAGGAGGATTCAGGTAGGTTGGCCACTCATCCTGTATTAAACCAGACAGTCCTGCTTTTCTAGGGTTTGTCCCCTGTCCAGTATTCCGACAAAACTGGACATGGTTTTGTCGGTATCTGATGGGAGATGTCATTCTGAAGAGTGTGCTGCTTCGCCCCCTTCTGGCATGACCTCGCACATAAAGTCATGCTGGCAGGGGCAGAGTGGCACACTCTTCAAAATGGGGCCCACCACGTGGCGTGAACTTGGATGCAGGAGACCTCAGCTCTTCGGAAAACATGGCCCTCAATGTCTCTGAAGTGCCACAGGTAACTGTGATTAATAGAAAATGGAGGCAAGGACCCTGTTACTAGGACCCAGAGAAAAAGATAAGGACTTTGATAAGCACATCACAGTGGGCAATGAATGCTGAAGTCAACTCTTGTTTGACTTAGATTAGCCAAATACATACTAAACGTGAGAGCAAAGAAACAATGTTGGGAATCTGTCATTTTCAAACAGCTTCTTGAGGATTAACAAGTTCTCACAAAGAGATAAATGGTCAAAGTGCTGGTGTGAGAATCACTAGTTCTCTTCATTTCATGGACCACTAAATCCAGATTATTTGCTACTCAGTCCCTACAATGGAAGAGGCTGTGTCCCCAGCTGAGTGGAGGGGGTAAAATAGGAGGGGAAGGGAACAGGAGGGATAAAAAAAAAAATTCTTCACCAAAGTAGGATCAGACATAAAGTACTCAATAGCAACCTTGCTGAGCATAAATTTAATCATGATCTGATGGAACCAATCTTAATTTGACAAGCTAACAGAGATAACAGTTAGTCAATTTCCCATTTCAACAGGCACAGTGATAATTGAAAGCTTCCAGATATATCACATGGAGATCAAACTTGAAGCAAACAGTAAACTTTCTGATAAAGGGCCCAAGCCATCTTCCACTGAAGTCAATAACAAACCCCCATTGACTTCAATGGGTGCTGGGTCAGGCTCAAGGTGAAAAGCCATTTTGAAAACAGTAACATTCCTCTACATCCCCAGTCAGGACAAAAGAAGCGTCAGAGGATGCTTCGTCCAGATTATACCATGTACCCTAATTCCTTGTGTGGTGAGTTGCCAAGAGGTCTGACACTGTGCCCTTCAAAGGACAGTGACTGCTGACATCACAGTGCAGGTTAAAGAGATAAGAATTCAGACAACAAGGGGTAAATAAATAAGGAGATGGTGAAGACCAAACTTTCCAATAAGATTGCCCCTGTTTTCAAAGCAGTTGTAAGGACAAAAAGACTGTGACTCTAATGTCACCTTTCCACTCCCCTGAATTTGGGTACAACCAGGGTCCAATTCAACCCCTGGCATAATGGGCTTCTCTAATTTACACTGGCCTAGGGGTCATTCCACTGGACCAGGATCACTGCACTCCAGCAGCAAACTCTGCAACTGCAGACAAGTCCTCCAAATACCCATATGCCAGCTCTGTGCCACCTGAGGATTCCCCGATGCCAAGGAAATCACTGCCTGCCCATTAGGGGCAGCTTTACAGGCTACTTTGCTGAGCAGCTTCCCAGCTGCTTTTCTGAGAAGTGAAAAGGAACTGGATGGGGGCCAGGCATCTGGCCTTTTTTATTATTATTTATTCATATTACAGTAGCACTTATTGTTCCCTGATAAGCTCAAGGCCCCATTGGGCTAGAGGCTGCATAATCACATAGTAGAATACAATCCCTGCCCAAAGAGCTTCTATTCTAAATAGAAAAGACAGAGGAAGGGATGATTTTACAGATGATAGAAGCACAGAGAATTTAATTACTGAGGCACAATGAGATTAAGTGATTTGCCCAAGGTCACACAGGAAATCTGTGGCAGAACAAGGAACTGAACCCAGAACTTCTGAGGCCCACTCTGGAGCCTCAGCTACAAGCCCATTGTCCCTCTCAAAATCCTCCTGCTTTATGCTGGGCAACAAGTATAATCCCATATAAGAATTTGCTAAAGTGAAGGACTGGTGCAAATACATTAACTAGTGGGAGTGTGTACTGTAGGTTCATGCTGCTACACACCTGGCTAGTGAGGGATTTCTAGAGAACAGTAATGGTAGACCCTTTTGTTAAAGATGAAACTGATTTACTGTATAATATGCTTTATCTCCGCCAGCCTGGGAAGTGGGATTACTGAGACATTGTCTATTGTGTGCCAGCAAAGAACACTGCTTCACTGACCTCTCAGACATGCAACGCTAAAATGATTTTTCTGTTTTTCAGCCAGGCCTATAAGGATTTTAAAAGACTAAATGCAATTCCATTCTTTTCAGTAACTGCAGCCAACATCTAAGTTGCTGAAACATGAAATTTCTTCCCTTGAATAGACAACCTTGGAATGTCTAACCCAAAAGAAATCCCATTAGTCATACACAGAGTCTGTCTCTGGGAAAATTGCTAGTGGAAGTGGGACAAATAGGCCAGGTAAGATGAGTAATGTATTTATTCTGGATTCATAAGAGCTGATCCACCTTTGATTTCCAGTGGTGGTGGGGGTAGATGGATGTGAAATGTGTGGTTAAGCAGGGAGATCAGACTGCTCTCTCTTTGGGAGGAGTGGTAAAGAGGTTATTAGAGGACAATTGTCTTGCTCACCTAGGGTCAAATTCTAACTGGCTTATGCACAGTGTTGATGGGAAAGAAACAAAGAGCCCCTCCCCATTTTGTGCACCCCATGCCAGGATACAATTACAACTGTAGTCCCTGCAGTTGGGAGGTACAGACATTGCTATGTGCCCCTGGTAAGTACACATCACCCAGAGGGCCAAAGGGGGCAGAGAAGCAGGGCAAAGTATCTAGGGCAACTGTGTGCCCCACTCAATTCTCCCTAAAATCCACAGAGCTACACACTGCACACCTGAACTCAGAGGAGGCTTTGGGGTGGGAGCTAGTGTCAGGGGATAGGATCAGTGTGTTTTATCACATACACTTTCTGCCCCAGCCTCTCTCAGATTTCTCTTGCCCCTTGGAAAAATATTGTGTGTGGAGCTATGGCTAAGGCAGGCAAAAGCTGCTTTTACAGCATAAACATACATCCGTCTGTGCCAGGAAACTTAAATAGGGCCTGACCATGTCCCTAGCCTCCAAGATCAGCTTATTTAAGTTTGGGGCACACACTCTAAACTGGCAGTTTTAGGCCAAAAAATATCATGCTAACAAACGTGCTCTGCTCACGATATACTGTACAGACTGGTTAGGAAATGTTTTTTTACCTCAGTTTCAGTCAGGTTTTGAAGACAAACATCCTCCACAAATGACGGTAATGGAATTTAACGGCAAAGACCACCCAAGACACTGGGAATCTCAAGTTGCTTGGCCTCAAGTTCTCTGGTTTGTTCTGCTCGGCCTCATATGCACTCTTGGTTGAGATACAAAGAAAGATTGTTTCCTTCCTTCCTGACTTGGATTTTTCTTTTACTTCTCAACTGACCAACAGAACATTTAGTAAATGGGCTGGAAAATTCTAGAATTTTTAATTCAAATTTAGATACAACAACAAAGGTTATAAAAGAGCCAAAAGTCAATCGCCACAGCAGTTTATAGAGGAGACTCAGTGGGTTTTGGCTTTTGTAAATAACTTTTCTCTCTTTAGGGTATGTTTGCACTGCAGGTGCTGCAGCAGCACAGCTGCCATGCTGTAGTGTACACACTTACTGCAGTCAGGAAGAGGTTTTTTCATTGCTGTAGTAAATCCACCCCCTCGAGGGGTAGGAGCGAGGTCGATGGAATAATTCTTCCATTGGCCCAGTGGTGACTATACTGGGATTTAGGTCAGCTTACCTGCATCTCTCTGACGTGTGAATTTTTAACCACCTCTGAGCAACACAGGTATGTCGACCTAAGTTTTATGGGTAGACCAAGCTTTAAAGAGCCTCTCCTTGCCTCAGACTCTTTGGGAAGCATCTCAGCTTATATACAAAAAAATTCTTTTTATCCTTTTCCCTGTTCATTTGTTTCCTATTGAACTGGCCAACCTGCACTAACTACAGGACTCTCTTCACACAGTTAGCAACAGACAGGAAAAACAACCAATCAAAATGAAGCATCTCCTCCCATCTCTGTGGCATCTCCTCTGCTTTCTGATCCTACTTTGAGCTGTCAGAGTAAAGGCCAGGTCTGCACTACAATATGTTGTCGGCATAGCTATGTGGGCTGGGGTGTGAAAAACACACATACACCCCTAACCGATACAGCCATGCTGGCAAAACCTCAGTGTAGATGCAGTTGTGCTGACAGAAGAGTGTGTCTATCGGCATAGGTAATGTCATTCAGAGAGATAGTGGTAGTAAAATGCCTTATCTTGGCATATATTGCATCTACACTAGGGGGCTCTGCTGGTATAGACATGGCCAAACATCAGCTCACCTAAGCACCTACTTTATCAGTCTTTATAACATAGCAAACCACAAACCTTTGATCTGTCATAGCAAACCGCACAGGAAGAGCTGCCCCAGCTACACATCCATTATGGGGCCATCTCTTCCCCCCCTTCCTGGCAGTGCCCCTCCTTCACTGGATTGTGTTTACAACTTTTTATTAAAGCAAAGTTAAAATGAAATGATAACATACTATGTCTTTCATTACTTATGACTTATGCAAGATCAGGCTAATATTCACAGAACCTGGCTACTGGATATTTTAACAGCCCCTCAAAGCTGATGTAGATTCAGCTGTGTGGCTTTCTCTGGTGGTGCTTAATTCCTCACTGTCTGGCTTGCCCTTTGATGTCTGATGAGCAAGGATCCATCATCTCTTCACATGTGCCTGTTAATTATTCTATTCAGAGACCGCTGTTTACAGACTATCACTCTGTTTACAATTGACTACAGGTAAACATTTGGTATTCACAGCTCCCCTTCTTCCACTCCACCCTATGCAACTTCTTCCTGATTTTTCAAAATAAATGTCTCCACATCAGTCTGGAAGGTCTCAGACTCACTGCCCCTTCCCCAAATTGCTGCCCTTGCTCCACTCAGAGAAAGGAGTTTCCCCAAAACAGCTGCTTGTCTCCCCAAGACACAAGTGTTTTTTTCCCTCCAGTTCACTAAGGAATAGGAAACAGTGAGTCAGCATCACCATTCTCTTGCTGGGCATGTCCACACCTAAAAGCATGGAGGAAACAGAAAAAAAACCTACAAGCTGTAGGGCTCAGAACCTCAAAGAGATAACGTGTCTGACTTTAAGCTGCTGAGCAGTTCTATCAAACTCAGCTATCCAAGTGCTTAAAGAGAAGCCTGCACATATGTCTTTGCAGGATTGGGAGCCTCAGAGGACAGAAGGTATTCTGACAAAGTAAAGGAAATATGTACAGATGAGGAAAAGAATGAATTATTTGTTTATGGTGCAACAGTTCAGATCTGGGCTAAAAATTATTTCAGCCCTCTTTCTTATCACTCCATATGGATTTTAAAATACTGTATATTTAAAACATGAAAAAAAATGAAATAAACTTAAAACAAATATTCAGTTAAAAATCTTAATCAGCAGCAGCTGAGCTAAGGGATTGGGCCCAGTTGTACTAAGTGCAGAACAAATGGAAAGGAAGACATACTTTCTGCCCCAAACACTTAGGCCCTAACGTAAGACAGAATGCTCCACAAGTGTGTGACCATTGACCAACAACAGGTGAGAAAGGGAGGAAGGAAGAGGGTAGCAATAGGTTCATGCATTTACGTAATCTAACAAAGGGCACAACTTGACTGTACCAAATAATTGTTTTAAAACATCTCTTTTGTTGGCAAGCCTTCCTCCTTACTATAGATGGAGCTGATAGCACCGGCTATAATTAAAGTTGCCTGACACTTTCCATTATCAGACTCTGTTTTCAGTTGCTTATAACTTTGCCAAACTTTAAATCGTGCCAGTTGAAATCTTCCATGCCTTAGGCTGAAGTTTTTTGGAAAGTTTCAGTAAAAATGGCTCAGTCATTTCCAAGACAGAGATTAAAGTAAAATATGTTGCTTTTCCTGTGTTAAAATTTTTTTTACAACCATTTTGTTGAGAAGCTTTCGCATCCCCATGCTTTAGAGAATGGACTTGACATTTGTCAGGAGTACAGCATTTCTGTCAGAGAAAGGTTTTGTCCTATTCTTGTGAAAATGCCCCAAATATGGCCAAGTAATAAGCCTCTGAAAAATCTCAGTTCTCATGTACTCAGTAGAAACTTCTTAGAGTTTGGAAGCCAAATTCCCCAAAGATTTCATCCAACGTGCACCAGCCTGGGGATGATCAAGACTTTCCCTACAACTGCTCATCCCAGCAACCAGGGGCTGCTTTTGCAGTGGCACCCATTCAGATATTTCTTGGGGAGGACAAATTCCCACTAGCAGGGACCCCATTCTGCTCCCCACTTGCCTCCCCCTCCTCCCACGGGGACCACAGGTCTCCCTCGGCTGGGGAGTCTCCCCTCTCTCTTACCCGCACAGTGCTTGAGCCAGTGCTGCCAGCAGTTGAGTTGTCAGTGGACTCCCCAAAGCTCCACTGGCTGGGAACGCTCCCCATGTGCCCAGAGCACAACCAGGGTTCCCTCTAATTTTTTACATCCATGTGCAGAATGAATTTTGTTATGTGCACAATATGGAGGCGATGTATGACACATCACCTTCCTATTGGTGCACATAACAAAATTCATGTGGTGGGGGTGGGGCTGAGGAGTTTGGAGTGTGGGAGGGGGCTCAGGGCTGAGGCAGAGGGTTGGGATGCAGGCCGGGAAGGGCTTTGCTGGGGGTGCAGGCTCTGGGGTGGGGCTGGGGATGAGGGGTTTGGAGTGTGGGAGGAGAATCAGGGCTGGGGCAGAGGGCGCAGGGGGGTGTGGGCTCTGGGGTGGGGCCAGGGATGAGGGGCTTGGGGTGTAGACTGCCCAGGGCCTGCAGTGGAGAGAGAGAACTCCCCCCAGACCTCTCTCAACACAGCAGCTCGGGGCCGGGGGAGAAGCGCCTCTCCCCGGCAGCTTCAGTGGGCTGGGCCTGGCTGAGGGAGGGGCTCCTTCTCCCCCGGCCGTGGCAAGCCCAGGCAGGTCCACACGGGGGCTGGCGGGGAGGGGTGCCTCTGCCTGCCACAGCCCTGAGTCCCTGCGCGGGGCTTAATAGGCAGCTGCGCGGCTGTGCAGCTTAGAGGGAACTTAGTTCATAACACCCCTATATCTGGCTGGGAGGTGGCATGGTATGGTGATCCTGCATGCCAGGTCACAATGTCACTCACTGAAATTTGGTATGAGTCAAATTTCAGTGGTGTTGTGACCAGGCAGCTGGAGCAAGACACCAGGGCTCGCCCACAGCAGCCCTACTGATTTGGTACAGGACTACCGCTTACAAGCGGTTGGGTCACAGCCCTCCCTCCCACCGCCCAGCTCCGCAGCCTACGGAACTTTGAGCAAGTGCAAAACCATTAGGGGAGCCGGCACCACTCCTGCTGTGGAGCCAGGCACAGGAGCGGAGGTCGGGGGACGGTCTGCCGCTGTTGGCTTCCAGGCAGCGGGGGAACGGGAGTGAGCTGTCTTACTGGAATGTAGAAGGTACAACAGTGAGCCTGGTGGGGAGGGCCTGAGGCGTGGAGAGAT